CGTGTCGGTTTTAGTATGTGGTGAGACAAGTTTCACTTTATCTCCTTCCCTCTAATTATTTTGGAGAGAAAACATGTCGACAAAGTAAATTAAGAGTATTTTTTTCAAGTGTTCAGTCCAAGTCTTAGAGTTAGAGCTAGTCATACACTACAAAAAAAGGTCATTAATTTACCATAGAAACAAAAATTAGCGCTACATTGCTAAATGAATATAGCATAGACATTTCATCGCTAATTATTTCCAATGCAAAATTATGATGAAATCAAATAAGTAAATTTGTTGATAAAATACACTGACAAAATTGCTATATTATCACACAAAATAAGGAGAGGATCTAATTTTTGGTTATCAGAATAACTGCATAAATATTTTGCAGACATGTTAGTCGTCATTCCTCAATATGCATATAAACATATTACATTCTAGTAAAAATTCTACTGTTTTTGCTTCCATGTTCTTCCTTAGCCGCATTGCAGGTTTTGTTCTACTGAGTTGCATTTCTATGGAGCTTCGGATTGTGTTTTTAAGCTATTATCTCCTTACTGTTTTTCGATTATGGCTAATATCGTTCTTATTTTTTATTTTATCTGTACACTAACTTGCTTTTAATAGACCTTTTATCAAAAAACAAAAATTCTATTATTTGTAAGAAATTGGACGTTTGTTATAGCTATACCTACCAAAAATGAATTTGGTGGAAACCAGGTGTGGTAGACCACACTTTCCTAAAATGGGGAGACCATAGTGGTTAGTGTATGCCCAAAATGGTTAGTGAATGAGATATGTGTCGTAATATCTTTGGTTCTTTGGCAATTAAGGAATGTCCATCTATATTGAAACTGCCTTAAAATAGAAAAGGCAAACCGTCACTGATCATTTCAATAAATAATACTGTAATTTGTTTCAGTGTAACTTTCTTCTCTTTTAGTGCCAACGTAGGAATTTCAAATATATTTCTTTTTATTTAGTGGCATTTTAAATGTTTCTTTTATAAAAGGAATTTCAAATCTTAAGCTATGTATGTGAACCTCAATATTGGTTTCTTTTTATTGTCAAATCGTGAGATGTAGAACATTAAACTAGTATATGTATATGTGTGTGTGTGTGTTGCTGAAATAAGATCATTTTTTTTGGTTAACTAGAAAGAGTTTGAATCAAGACCCTAATCTCCGAAGACCTTAATCTCTTTCAGTCCAAGACCAGCTTTTGTTAATACATTATGGCATATGTAATCATTCTCATCGGGAATCGAATTATGAACACAGTATATATGACCAACTCCTATGTTTAACCACTAGATCATTTCATCTAGTAGAAAAAAGTTCCTCTTAATAGCTATAACTATAATGTCGTAACTATTTTCACTTATAAGTCTACTGGTCGAAGATCGATTCACTATTTTAGAATTTAGAACAGATTGTTGTTTGATCCTATAAATCACCACACAAAACATTACATTGTTTTGTTTTATCTGTACCATATCATAATTAATTTTCAAATAAATCTTTTACCTATTGTAGAATTTTTGGGGGGTCAAAACAAATATATTAATTGTGGAGCTATAAATGAAATTATTCTGAAATTGTTTTTTTTTTAAGTTAGGTAATTCAAGATATGAGCTAAATTGTGATTTTAGTATAATTTCTTTTTCTTAGGAATGAGTTGCAAATTTTGCAAATTACATTTTCCTGTGGAATTTGGATTTTATTGAGAAATCATACAAAATTATATTATAGCAGATGATATATATAGCAAAAGAGTATTCGCATCAATTTGAACAATTAAATACGTCATCATGTATTTCACATGTTTATACATTTTGTAGGTGGGAGTATAATACTATTTTTGGCTTTTCTATCGTCCACAAAATTGAACTATATATCACCTTATCGACTTTCCTAAATTGAAAATTAAAATCTTGTAGTTGGAAATATAATATTTTGGTTATTAGGTCACTAAAATAAATATTCGAACGGGCTGATACACTTGTTAAACTATACTCCTAGTTGATTTATGAAGTCCCTTTTGCAACATAATGTGGCTGAAAAGAACAAAATTAGTTAAGAAGTCAAGAGAACTTCGATCAGTGATGCACATGCACTGCGAAAAAAAAAACTAAATTAAGAGAACAAAATCAGTGACGCACATGCACATTGCAGTGGATAAAACTTTACAATCGATAGGATTAGGACAAACTATACTGGTTAATGTATTTAGCACGTGGGTGGGGAATAAGTGAAGCAATCAAATTCATATCACATATAGAAACCCAAAACGAGCTATCTGCATCTATAGTGCCACCTTTGACCAATTTTTTATATTTTATAATTTATATTAAATTAATGATTGAGTTGTTTTTAAATATTTTATCATCAACGTGCAGTCACAGCTGGAAAAAAATTTCGCAACGAAATCATATTTTGTGGAAGAGACTTTAAACAAACAAAAAAACAGCAACTTTTAAAAATCTGCAAGGATATATACTATCATAATTAAGTTGGATAATGAATCTACCAATTAATAAGGATAGAAGGTTTCTATAGAGCAGAAAGAAGAGAAAACTCTAATTGAACCAGACCGGGTTAACAGAAAAAAGGCTAATCGTTCCTTAAAAAATATAAAAACAAATCACGCAACAATTTCATCTAATGTGGTTGGACAATTATTTTTTTTAAGATAATTAAGTCTCTATTCTTGTCGTTTGGTTCTGTCTATAACTCATATCTGAAAACAAAAATTAGAACTACGATACGGTAGCACTACTATTACAAGCTATTAGACTACATAAAGTCTACCTTTATATATTTACACTAAAAACAAATATTTGTAGCGATATTTGTTTTTTAGCAACCCATTTTATTTAAATCAAGTTTGGCTACTAGGGTTGTGGTTCCATGGAATTACTCTACTGGCTTTGTCTGACTTACTCATGATGTTAAAATATTTCTTTCTCGAGTACATTTTGCAAGAGAATCGGCTCAAAACATTCAGAAAACGAAAAATGAAAACTATATTAAAGTTCTCGAAAAATCTCTACGAACTAGGAATGTAATTAAAAGGAATTTAGTTCTGACATAAAAATCGGTCATTCCATCAAATTGACGATCATTCCCACCAAATCTAGGCAATATAACTCAATATAAATCAAAAATATTTTCTTCTTTTTAGGTATGACAACAGCTCAGAATAGTCAATCTATTTCAGTGTGTATAGCCGTTCTGTGATATCCCTGTAATCCCAAGAATTATTTTCCCATGTGACTGATCCATGCCAGTATAACAATATTAAAAATGGTATATTATATACTGTTAAGGTATGATTAAATGCCTCAACGTGATCATTGGTGTATAAGTAACCGTTCTACCGCGCGCTAACGAATCGTCCTAATCCAAATGGTGACAGTTTGTATCGCATTAAACACGATCAATGTTCACAGTCAAAACCTTAGTTATACCATTACTCGTATTACTCTTGTTTTTAGGGATACAACAGTCGTAAGCACTGAGTCACTTTCTCACAGTAATTGCTTTTGTCTTTCTAATCCAGTAATATTCTTAAACCACTTATCATCTCAAATGAGTGTTCGATATTTTTCTTGAAATGGTGACACACAATAGTCATTTTCTGTTATTGGATTCTACAAAGTAATTGGATTCCTATATAAATGACCACTACAATCACTAAATGCCAAAAGTTTAATTATCCCACGTTTTATTTTTCTTATAAGTCCTCAGAGACTCAGAGGTGCATCCATTATGATATAGGATGCTAATGTTATCTGTGTTTTCTGTAAAACTTTTGGGGCAATTAATCACCTCAACCAAATTTTTCTATGAACTGTGTATAATTGGTTTGGATCAAACCCTAAACCCTTTTTTTTATGCATCCCTAAACCCATTTAGATTATGGATAGATATATGCCGTTGTCGCAGTTGAGAAAGTGCAGTTGCAACCATTTTATATTGTGATTTTTGTTGTTGTTGGAGGAACAATGACATTTATTTTACTTATGAATGTCTATTGGGTGAAAGCACCTAATTTATTCTGAAATGGTGACACAATAATCATTTTCTTATTATTTCGTAGAGATGTATTTTATGTATAAAAAATAAATGTTCGGTTAGTTTTATTGATCTAAACAACTGCATACGTATTCGTAAGCGGATCTTATTGATCTAAAAAACGAACAAAACAAAAAAAAATTATTCTTTCTATGGATTTAAAATTTGGTAGATTTTACACTATTGTATATTAAACTACTGTAAAAAGAATATTCAAATTTTGGTCCGTTGTATTTGTGTCGTCAGTTATACTTGTTTGACTGTTATGCATTAACCATAATAATTTTGTTTGTTTTGTTTGTTTTTTTTATAACTAGGTGATGATCAATGCTTTTATCATCTAATTTTTAAAAGTGACTATAACTGTCGAGTAGTCTATTAGATTTGTTAATGAATCTCCAAAATTATATTATTTCAACTGCTTAAAATTATAATTTTTAATTCGAGAGAATCGATTTATCATTGGCCTAGACCAACAAAGCAACTTAGTTTTTAATACTCCGTCAACTTCGAACATATCTCATCCACACCTTGGTCACATAACTATAAAGTATTTGTGGTAATATTAAATAGCATGTGATATAATCATTGTGAACCTTTAATCAAAGACAAGTCGGTGCATTGTAATTGTATATATTTATTGTCTCCACATTACATAAGGAATAAGACAATTTCTATTCCAAGTATATTTTCCCCCCACTCAACCATTTCTAATCTATTTTAAAGTATTTATTACGCTCTTTAAAAAAAAACAGTATTTGTTATACGGAAGAATGTCAAACTCGTGTTTTAGAAAAGAAAAGAAAAAAAGAATGTCAAAGTCATGGAGCCAATATTAAATTTATTAGTTTAATTTAAAAGTTTGTTTTTGAGATATTACTGAGCTATGGTATATACCCCACCGTCCAATATTCTATATATATGTGCAAGAACATTCATACCAAACACAGCGAGAAAGAGATTCATCTTTCAATTTTTTTTTAAAGAAAACTTTGTGTGTTGGGGGAAAAAGAAGAGAGAGAGAGAGAGAGATGGAGATAGAACCAAAGTTCAAGAGAATATGTGTGTTTTGTGGAAGTAGTGCTGGTAATAAAACCAGTTACAGAGATGCTGCTATCGAACTCGGAGCCGAACTGGTAAATCTTTTTATTTCTTTCTTCTTTTCTTCCTTTTTTCCTTTCTTCAGAAATTTCTTCCTTTTAGAATTTCGTGTTGTATATAATAGAAAATTAGACTTTGAATCTGGAGACTGAACTGTTTATCTTTTTGTCATAGTTTCTGATGAGCAACAAAATAAAAAAGCTCTGTTTCTTTCTCTTCCACTTGGATTTTTGATATTTGATTTTTCTTAATGGTAAATTTTAAAATGGTAGAAAACCAAAACCACATAAATAATAACATAGTACTCTTAAATTCTGTTTCATTTTATAAAATGTTCTTAATTGTTTTTGTTTCAAGTTGAATTAGTTAAACTTTTTATGTATCATTTTAGTTACCCATATATCATTGAAATAGAATTGATCAAAAGAGTCTAGATAAAAAATGTGGAGATAACTTATACAATTTCTTAATCTCCTCGTATTCATCCAAAACATGGAAAAGTATATAGAATTAGCAAATAGAGAGAGAGAAGACTAATGAATTTATGAGCTTGTAAGTATCTGAATATCAAATGTATATATATAACTTTTTTTTCGTGAAATGCTCCATCACAAATAATTTATTTACTTATTCGTTGACCAAATAAAAGTTGGGTTTACAAGTTGCACGGAAATGGGTTTAATCAATTGACTCGTCGTTACTAAAGCATTTTAGCCATTTAGAGTTTAGTGGAGTCAACTATTCATCATATATATAATTACCCATTATCTTCTTTTTCGAGTAACATTATCTTCAGCTTGTACTTACTATGTTCAGTGGTAGAAACATAGTTTTAAAGCTTAAAGAAGTATGAAATTCAAAAGTATTTTTAGTTGAATTGTGATGGGAAAGCTCACACTTTTTTTGTACCCATGTTTTTTTTTTCATGTACTTTCGTAAGTACTTTTACCAGAAAACGTGATAATGGAGTTTACCACATATATAGTTTTTGTCTACAATATCTTTTTCTCCACTGTTACATGTATTGTTCTTTTTTTCTCTTTTGTCGACAATTGTATTTACTAATTAACTATGACAATGACTACTAAATAAATACTAAAATTTACTAAAATAAAATGCCTTTTCGTAGGTATCAAGAAATATCGATCTTGTCTATGGTGGAGGGAGCATAGGTTTAATGGGCTTGATTTCTCAAGCTGTTTACAACGGAGGTCGCCATGTCATCGGGTTAGGGTTTTTTTTTTTACCCTTTTTAAAAATAATTTCAATTTTCTCTAGTCATTAAAGTTAAAAAGAAACAACTAATAAAATGGATACGTGTAGTATTTGTGACGTTTACTTTTTTTAACCAACTTTTTTTGTCTTGTTACTGTCTTCAGGGTTATCCCCAAGACACTAATGCCAAAAGAGGTACGTCCGAAATATAACTCCAGAAGAAAACTTATTATTATTTAATGTTTGTTTCTTGCCATTTTTATAAAACAAATAAAAAGACTTTAAACAAAATTGGTGGTAGATAATTTACCAAGAACATCAACCTCATAAATGTTATCTTTAAACGCGTATTTCATATTTGTCTTATATTAGAGAGGGTTTCAATTGAGACAAAAGAGTCCCAATTTATTGGACGGCAATATTTTCATGTTTCCTTTATCTTTTGTTTTCTGTTTTGAAATGTGCAGTTATTTTAATTTTTTGAGTTAACTAAAACAATAAAAATAATAGTCACCAATGATGTTGCTCAAAAATATGATTAGCTTTCTACGAAAGGGGTCAAAGTGATAAATGTAAGAGAAACACCTCGAGAGACTAAATCATCATTACATATATCCCTTTCTCACAACATAATGGGCTAAAATATGATTGCATATAGATAAAACTCGGTTTGTAAATTACATGTTGAAGCAATTACTAGACACATTTCATAATATACAATTGTTGGAGGAATACCATAAAACAAAGTGGTGTGAGTGTGTAAGAGTCTTGTCTTTTTGTTTTGGAATATACAGAAGACAAGTGGTCAGTGAGTGGTAATACTAATAAATAATAATGTGTGAATATTGTAAATGTGAATGAAGATAACAGGAGAGACAGTGGGAGAAGTGAAGGCAGTAGCAGACATGCACCAAAGGAAAGCTGAGATGGCTAAGCACTCTGATGCTTTTATCGCTTTACCTGGTTGGTTCCTTTCTTTATCTTGTCCACATTTTTTACTTATTTATTTATGGTTTTAATTGGTAATGTTGTACCGCTGTGGTAGGGCATATACCTTCTTCTGTATAATCATCCAGTAAAACTGTAAAAAAATAAACCAAAAGGTTACTAGTTTAGTGGTAGACTGATAGTACAAGATTGTTGATTCTGTTGTGTCTCAAGTTCAATCATCATTTGGGAATTTATTTTTTAAATCGGAATATCTAAAAGTTAATTATGAGTATGGGAGAAATTATGGACCAAAGGCCCAAAACTCCTACATTTTTAAAAAGATATTGTAAATGTAAATGTAAAAACCTTTAAATTCTACCATTATCTCAACAGCAATTATTGTTTATAGTTTCTAATTGTACTGTTGATTCTTGCTGATATCTCATACAATCGAAAAATTCATACCTTTTTGTATCATTAATCAGATTCTATATTACTTTGATTAGTAAATGGGAAGTAATGTTGGAAAATTTATTATAGGTGGATATGGGACACTTGAAGAGCTCCTTGAAGTAATCACTTGGGCACAGCTTGGAATCCATGATAAACCAGTAATCATTTTGCCTCCATTTCTATTTACATTATATTATGTTGTATCGATTAAGAATGAAAGAATTTTATCTTATATGGTTTTAATCTATAAAATGAATTTGAAGGTGGGACTATTGAATGTGGAAGGATACTACAATTCATTGTTATCATTCATCGACAAAGCAGTGGAAGAAGGTTTCATTTCACCAACTGCTCGTCATATCATTGTCTCTGCTCCTTCTGCTAAAGACCTTGTCAAGAAACTTGAGGTTCCTTTCTTTTTTCTATATATCTTTATTTAACTATATTATATCTGTTTTTAATGTTTTTTTCTTGGGTTTTAAAATCTAGGAATATGTACCAAGGCATGAGAAGGTAGCATCAAAGAAAAGCTGGGAGATGGAGCAAATAGGGCTGAGTCCAACTTGTGAAATCTCAAGATGAAAAAAGGACTAATTGAATTCTTTAATTAGGATAAGCCCAATTTAATGTTTCTCCAAAATTGGGCTCCTTTTTATTGATTGTGTAAACTTAGTCCCAGCAACCTGAAGACAAATTGACTTTCTTTTTGTGTAGTTGATTCTGTTGTTTAATCTATTGTTTTTAGCTTTCTATTCTGGAAAAGAAAAGACAGAAAATATGTTGGTTTTTTTTTTGTAATTTGTAATTTGTAATATGTTCCCACGAACAACTCAATCTTCTTCGGAAATTATATTTGTTGTTGACGAGTTTAAATTTAGTTATCCCTTTTTTTTGGAGTTCTTTGTTTGTCATGAACTTATATTCATATCTTAATCATGGATCACAATTACATTATACTAAATACTTTTTTTTTTGCCATCTACATTATACTAAATACACTTTACTATTGATGCTTAGTTTGAATTTTTTTAGAATCACTAGCTACCACCATATTCCAGTTTATCAATTTTTATTTTCACTTATCATCATTATTGTTTATTATTTTTTTTGGTCAAACATTCCATTTATCACCATTCATTTTATTCAGCTCATTCTTTAAAATTGCTTTCCAAATGTACTTTTTTTTGTTGTTACATTCCATTTATCACCATTCATTTTATTCAAGTCGTTTTTTTTATTTTTTAAATTGCTTTCCAAATGTACCTCTTTGACTCTTTGTTGTTAACAGGAGTCAAAACATTAATTAACCTTTGACTAATGTTTTCTTGATTAAGAAACTCAACCTTACGAACATAAAGTTAACAAATTAAATTTCAAATCCCCTTTGGCTCGAATCAATGTATGTAGTGTCAAATGAGTTGGTATAAAATAAAGAAAAGAACAAATGTATGCTACTAATAATAGAGATGACCTTTTGATTATTAAACAAAAAAGGTTGGGCCTTTTAGAATAGGCCTCGCCACCGAATCTCGCATCTCTCGTCTCTCTCATTCACTCTGTCACTCTCTGCTCTTGCAGATCAGAGAAAGCAATCTCCTTTGAGCCCTTAATCCATCACCTGTTTTCAGATCTCCGAGATCGTATCCTGTAAGTAATCGCAATTTTTGTTTTTGTATCCATTTAAGTTCTTGATTTGCAAGAAAATTGGAAGCTTGTGTCAAATTTTCCTAAAGCTGTCGTTTTTATTGCTGGTCAATACTTTTCACAGTGTTGCTTATTGCTTAGACTCTAAGTTTTGCTCAAAGACTTGAAGAAACGACTGAGTAGATTTTGGAGATTGTTGCAAAACCAATGGGAACAATGCACCGCAGGTATATAGTTTTCTTGGATGTTTGATTGTAACACAAAAGAGTTCTGCTTTCAGTGTGCAAAGATTACTTAGTGGTTTAGCTTTGCAGTGGTGCTCCTCGAAGAAATGAGAATGCTAAAGTTATCATCACAACGATCTTGGGAATTGTCTTTGGGGCTTTTATAGGCATCACATTACCTTCGGGTTCTTTTAAGGTATGATGTTTGTTCTTCATAGAGTAGATCTCCTTCTTGATGTTCCTTTCACTTTCACTTTCACATCTTGATTTTGTTTCGTATCCGTGCAGATTAACTTACCTTCAGGCCTTATGTCATCTTTTGATGTAGCTTTATCAGATGGTAAATTGTTATCTGGTGAAAAATCGCCTGAAGATTTCGGTTCAAGAAAGTTTCCAGAGGTATTATTGGACCCTCCTTATCTATAATTTGAAGGCCATTTTGGAGATGAATGTTTCAGTTTCTTGAAATGCAGCAATTTCGTCAAGAACGTTAGCTTTTCAACTATATGTACTAGAATAGTGCCTCATTTACGAGGAAATGTATCCCTTTATTGTTTTGTGTGATTGCAGATATATGTTCCAACCAACCCGCGTGGTGCAGAGCTACTACCTCCTGGAATCGTTGTGGCCAAAACTGATTTTTACTTGCGCAGATTATGGGGAGAACCTAATGAAGTAACCTAACATATATTAGTTTACCTCTTACATAGTCATTTGACAAATATGCCTTAGATTATAAAGCAATAACCTTTGCAGGATTTGAAGAAGAAGCCAAGATATCTTGTGACATTTACAGTTGGGTTTGAGCAGAGGAACCATATTAATACAGTTGTTAAGAAGGTTCTGCAATATCCTCATGTTTTAGTCAATATTTGTGTATTACTCTTTGCTGGATGATACACTCAGATTTTATGTGTTTTGGTCATTTCTTCAGTTTTCTGAAGATTTCCAAATTTTGCTCTTCCATTATGATGGCCGGACAACTGAGTGGGACCAATTTGAGTGGTCGAAGAGCGCTATTCATATTAGTATAAGAAAGCAAACAAAATGGTGAGTCTTCTAGTACTTTAGCGATGTGCGAGTATGTTTTATCAAAGTTCTCAAATGGTATTTTGGCAGGTGGTACGCGAAGAGATTCTTGCATCCAGATGTTGTGTCAGCTTACGAGTACATATTTATATGGGATGAAGATCTTGGAGTGGAGCACTTCAATGCGGATAAGTAAGTTTTACTTGTCTTTGAGTATCACAACAATGTCATCTCTACATTTTAATTGTAATGGAAGTTTTATTGAAACTTCAGGTACATTCAGTTAGTTAAGAAGCATGGTTTAGAGATTTCTCAACCTGGCCTAGAGCCTAACAATGGACTTACATGGGAAATGACAAAGAGGCGAGGTGACCGAGAGGTACACAAGTAAGATCGCTGTCTCTCGCAAACCATACTTTACCTTGGTTCTGAATCAAGAATGTTTTTTTGTTTGTTTTGGTTCTGAATCAAGAATGTGTTTATTTTACTTTTGAACAGAGATACTAAAGAAAAACCAGGATGGTGTAGTGACCCACATTTACCTCCATGCGCTGCGTAAATCCCTCTTTCTTCTCTCCTCAGCCCCACTCATGAGTGTTTTAGTCATTATCAGTACTGAGTTTGTTCCCATCTTCCACAGATTTGTTGAAATAATGGCGCCTGTATTTTCTCGAGAAGCATGGCGATGTGTGTGGCATATGATTCAGGTTTTTGTTTATCCTTGTCATAGGAACTAGTCCTAGACTCCTAGTCCGTTAAACTAATGCTTGGAGACTTGTTTCATATGATTGAGCCACTTTGATTACCTCTGATGCAGAATGATCTGGTTCATGGATGGGGTCTTGACTTTGCTCTTAGAAGATGCGTTGAGGTAAAGCTGCTTTCTTTAGGGTTCTTATAAGCTATACCATTTTCAACAGATCGATGATGATAATCTCTGTGTGTTTTTGCAGCCTGCTCATGAGAAGATTGGTGTTGTGGATTCGCAATGGATAATACATAAAGTGATACCGTCGCTTGGAAGTCAAGGAAAGTCAGAGAATGGGAAAGCTCCATGGCAAGGAGTGAGAGAGAGATGCAAAAAGGAATGGAAAATGTTTCAGAACCGATTAGCAGAAGCTGATAAAGAGTATCTTGGGAGGATGGTTAAAGGATAAAATATAGTTTTGTTCTTTTCCTTTTTTTTCTTTCATATTTACTATCAAAAACCTTCCTTTGTATATCAAAGTTTTTACCCTAATTAGGTATATGATAGGGCATGTGAAACCCTTTTTCTTGATATTGTGTGAGATTTATATTTCCATTGAGCTTAATGTTTGATTTCTTGATTTTCTACAAGTCTACTGTTACTGAAAATAGAGATTAGTAATTCGTAAACTAGTAATATCGAATTGAAAGAATAATATTCTGATCAGAAATTTAGTCAACAGAGTTTTGACTGCTTAGCCAAAAGCATAATTCGAACTTTTGCAAGCAGACACACACAGAAACAACAAAAACAACAAATTTATTTCATTTGATTTTGAAAGACCTATAAGTATATATAGCAGACTTATCAGTCTCACGATTTTTATTCTTACATTATCACTAATTTAGTAATTATTTTTTTTAAGTGAATGTAAAGCTTATTCAAACTAAAAAGACGTTTTGGCAATAAATACTTTATTGACCAATCTTGCAACAAAGCTTTTATTGACCAATCTTTGTTAAAACATTACAAAGAATTGTTTGAAAACTTGTAAAAGCCTTGAGCTTTCGATGGTGGTAGATGCTTTATTGTGTGATTCATGTGACTCTCGTCATAATTATAATCTCTCGTGGTGCGAATTGAGCTAGTGAGATTTCGGACATTATTGTCTATAAGCTTAATGAGATGTGACATCGTCACCGATTTCAAAAACAAAGAAAACGTAAATGGTGGAGAAATTAAGGAGAGGACAAGGGTATTATTGGTTTGGAGTGAGTGTGAAGCTTTACACAAATGCAATATTCCACTTTATTTATATTGTCTCTATACTTTACAATATTTTCTCCAAACGAAAAAAGTCTAAAAATTTCAGTTTCACCTTCCTTTTTGCTTTTGATTCAAGTCAAATCGTTTGTTCATAGAAAACCATAATGTCATTCTCTTTACTTTATTAGTTCCTATCTATTGGTCGTGTCAATTTTCAATGTTTTTTTATAGTTAAAAGTTTGCTTTCATAGCATCAGTAGATGCCTCGTATGAGGAAAAACATATATTAAGCAACATCATAACTAGTTTTTTTCTCATGTATGTTGTGTAAAAATATATAATGACATAATTAATAATAATATGAAAAATTAGAAAGCACAGAAGACACCTACTAGAGGTTTGGTGTTTGGCACCAACCATTTTTAGACTAACAAAGAATAAAAACCTCATATATCTCTTTTGCATATTCATTCCTCATCACATACACAACCTTCTCTCTCTCTCATCAACATATCAATTTCTCTTTCTCTCTCTTCGTTGGATACATTTTGAAGGGTTGCGAGGAGAGAGAGGAAAATGGGAGAGATGAAGAGTATGCAAATGGGTGTGATTGGAGCATTATTTCTCTCAGTTGCATCTTCTGTCTCCATTGTTATTTGCAACAAAGCTTTGATGACCAATCTTGGCTTCCCTTTTGGTATTTACTTTATAATCTTTTTGTTACCTTTTCTCAATATGATTATTGAATATATGATGTAAATAAATATCTTTATCAAAACCGACTATTCGTTTGATAACTGATCGGTTTTTGCTATTGTTTTTGTTGCAGCAACGACACTAACAAGTTGGCATTTGATGGTAACATATTGCACACTTCATGTGGCATATAAACTAAACTTCTTTGAGAACAAACCAATAGACACAAAGACTGTTGTTCTCTTTGGCCTCCTCAATGGCATCTCTATCGGTCTTCTCAATCTCAGCCTCGGCTTCAATTCAATCGGCTTCTATCAAGTATAAATATCTATATATTTCATAATCCCCATAAAGTAACATTTGCATGATTGACCAATTTTGATGTTTGTCCTTAAATAATGGCAGATGACCAAACTTGCTATCATACCATTCACTGTTCTATTAGAAACCCTCTTCCTCAACAAGAAGTTTAGGTGAACCTTTACTTATTTTTTTTAATATCATTTCGATATGTTTAATTCTTTACTAACATATTTAATCAAAAGTAATGACATGTTTGATTTGCAGCCAGAAGATAAAATTCTCATTGTTTCTACTGTTGGTTGGGGTTGGAATAGCATCAATCACAGATCTTCAGCTCAACTTTGTTGGTTCTGTTCTCTCTCTCCTTGCCATCGCCACAACTTGCGTCGGCCAAATTGTATGCTTTGATTCTTATGTTTAACTAATCAATGTGTAATGACTAAAAATTCATAATATTATTAACATGACTAAATTAATTGTTGTGGTGCAGCTAACAAACACAATCCAGAAGAGACTGAACGTGACATCAACACAACTTCTATACCAATCGGCCCCGTTTCAAGCCGCAATACTCTTTGTCTCGGGTCCCTTTGTCGACAAATATCTCACTCGTCTCAATGTCTTCTCTTTCCATTACTCTCCTATCGTCGTGGTATATTTACATCAATATATTCATTTTCCTAATTTATTACCAATTAGTTTTAAATTAGAGATAAACTAGATGGCTAAAACATATATTTACAAGCCCATTTTGAGCCATGTCGTATTATACATTTCTAGCTAGATAGAAGAATCCTATGAAACGTGACCATGATGAATCATGTTTTATACTTGCAGGGGTTCATAACGCTCTCGTGTTTGATAGCGGTTTCGGTTAACTTCAGCACATTTTTAGTGATCGGAAAGACATCTCCGGTGACTTACCAAGTCTTGGGACATCTCAAAACGTGTTTGGTGCTTGCGTTTGGTTACACTCTTCTCCACGATCCTTTCACTCCTCGTAACATCGCAGGAATCCTCATCGCTGTCCTTGGCATGATTCTATACTCCTACTTCTGCTCAGTTGCTTCTAAATCCAAACAAAGCTCCTCCGAATCCACTTTTCTTGTACGTAATCACACCAATAACAACAACAACAACAACAACAAAAGATAGAAGTAAAGATTCTTGAAAGTATCTATATATGCTTATTAACTGGTTTGGTTTCATTCCATTTTGATAGGGGAAAGACAGGGATACGACGCCGCTTTTGAGCCAAGAAAAAGAGAACAATGAAGCCAAGAAATTAGACAAGCATTCTCCAGTATGATTTACAGCATAAAGTTTTTTAAAAAAGTACAATTTACTTTTTCTTTCTGTTTTGCTTCTATAATTCTGTTTTTTGTTGTTTCTATTCATTGATAAAGTTTTTGTAATTGTGAAAGAAAGAAAAAACTGAAACAGCCAATGAGCCTTTTTCTCTTACTTTTTTTCTTCTTTTTCTTTTATATATTTACAGTTACAGATACATCTCTTCATCTCTCTCCCTTTTGAATAGTACAAGGATATATAGAAGGAAAATGTTTATTTTCTACAAAAAAAAAAGCAAATATTACGAAATCTTTTTAATATTATTTGCAAGTGTTTTTAGTATATATAAAAAAGTTGATGTGTCAACTTCTCAGTCAATTTCAGCATGAATTACTAGTAACCCTCACGAAATCGATTCAAGAAATTACAATTGGAAGTGTAAAGATATTTTTTTAGTTGAATAAATCGACCTCAAACTCTACAGTGGTGGTGACTCTTCCTTAAAACCTTTGTGGTGATATTGCTGAATGCTGAAGAGCAGGAGCTATTATTGTTACTAGGATTCTTAACAAGCCTATGGACTCATTCAACCAAAGGTGTGAAGATATGGGCTTTATGTCAATATTATTTACATGGGCGAGAAGTTTTGGAATAAAGCCACAAAACTTATTATCAGATGTTTCACGTTTTGGCAAGTCGTATGTTACTTAAAGAAGCCGCAAGACGATGCCGAACCCTAACAGAACACAGAGAAAAATTAAAGGAGCGTAGTACAAGCAAGAGAAACGAGAGAGAGAAGTTGAGAGAGAAAAGGCAACCGAGAGAAAAGAAACGGAATTCGAGTCTTCATGTTCTTAGAGTGTGTCTTTTGGTGTAGTAATCTCCTTCTAAGTTTCTTGGTTAAGCTTTGTACCTGAACACAAAAGAGAGCACCAGTTAGTGTGCTTGTGTAATCTTTGATTGATAGTGGAAGTTGTGGGAGACGGTTCTCACCCCAGACGTAGCGGTTCGAGGCTGTGAATTGGGTGACCAAATTTTCTTGTGTTCGTTTAAGTTTCATATATCCTAAGATCAAAGCACTAAACATAAGCTAAAAACCCTTACAAGTGGTATCAGAGCATCCAGGTTTGGTTGTGAGTGCTTAAGGATTAGATTAGAAACTCAGTGATGACGACACAAAAGATGGAGGTGAGCATGTTCGACGGATCAGGTGATTTTGTGATCTGGAAGAAAAGGATGCTCACGTACTTAACCGTTCAAGGTTTGAAATATGTTCTTACGGAACCGACATCCAAAGACGTGGATGAAAAAGATCCAGATGCAATAAAGAAAAAGAGCAAAGATGAAGCTTCCAGGCTGGAGCGAGATGAAAAGGCTTTGAATCTTATTTTCATGTGTGTTGGAGATCATGTCTTAAGAAAACTAGACAAGTGCGTAACCGCAGCTCAAGCGTGGGCTACTCTTGAGAGGCTTTACATGGCAAATACTTTGCCTAATCAGGTCCATTCTCAGCTTAAAGTGTATTCTTTTAGAATGCAGGATTCAAGATCAATTGATCATAATGTAGATGACTTCTTGAAGCTGATTGCAGATTTGAGCAACCTCAACATTGAGATACCAGAAGAAGTTCAAGCAATACTGCTACTCAACTCTCTTCCCCCTAGGTATGATTCTTTAAAAGATACTCTTAAGTATAGTAGGGAAGCTATTGAGTTGGAGGAAGTAGCTAGTGCTGCAAAATCTAAGGAGAGAGAGCTGGCTGAAATGAAAAGCTTTCAAGATCAGATGGAGAAGAGTTATATGTTGAGGCTAGAGGCAGATCAGAAAAGAGGTCAGAGAATGGAAGAGGAAGGTCTAAGAGTAGAGGAAAGAAAAACAACAAAGGTTGCTTTGTTTGTGGAGATGAAGGACATTGGAAACGGGATTGTCCTCATAGAAAGAAACCTGCAGACTCTGCAAATGTTGCAACAGATTCAAAAGAACCAATGGTGTTAAGTGTCAGTTCGCAAGATACTAAGAAAGAATGGATTATGGACTCGGGATGTTCATACCATAGTACATCAGACAAAGAAGTCTTGCG